CTGATGCCACATCCAGTCTCAGCTTAAAAACCTCCAGGGATGGAGAATCCACCACTTCCCTGGGCAGCCCATTGCAATGCCCAATCACCCTTTCTGTAAAGAATTCCTTCCTAATATCCAGCCTAAACCTCCCCTGTCCTTCCATCATTTCTTTCTTCATTTATAAGAAAGGAAGCTCAAAGCTCAGCCTAAAAATGGAGCATCACTCTCATTTTCCCTCCTAAAACCCAAACGAAACCCTCGTGGCTCGGGTGAAATGATTCCTTCCCAGTGCTGTGCCCTGGCAGGTGAGGCCCCAGCGTGCAGACACCTGGCAAACATTCCCTGGCACCTGGATCACCCGGCTCCTCACCTGGTTCTGGAAGCCCATGGCGGGGACGTTGCACCTCACAGCAGCATCTTCCTCGTGGTTGCAGCCCTGGGACTCGGTGTTGAACTTGCAGTCCGTGACTGACTTCTCAAAGCCTGTGCAGTCGATCTCGTTCAGGTGGATCGGGCCCATCCCTTGGAGGGGAAAAAAAAGAGGTTTTTGCTTTCTGCCTGTGCTGCTGTGTGGGGAGGAGACATTAACACCCTGCAGACACCACGCCGGCCTCCAGCGTTCCAAACACCCTGGAAAAAAAAGCCACTGGTTTCGTGTGAAAACAAACCCAAAAGCTGCAATATCCTTATTAATATTTTCACTGCTAAATTCTTGCCAGTGTTCTCCGGGGCTCCGGCAGGCAAGAACCCCAGAAACAGCCAAGTTTCCACTGTTACATAATTTACAAACTTCAGCTGCAGGAATTCACAAATTATGACCTTTTGGCTGGGTCTGTGTGCTGGAATCTGCTCCCAGTCAAGCCCTGACATTTAACTGGGACATGGACACGTTTGCTGGGACAATAAAGCAGAAAACCACGGGGAGGGAGGGATGAGGAGTCAGTAAAATAAATCTGGGGCAGGTGGTGTGGGCTCCAACACAGCAGTGAAATACAAGCATTCCATACTGCAGAGAGGTGCTGGGGGACAAATGGGAATAATCTGGGAGGACAAGTGGCATCCAAGATGAGGCTGGTCCTTCAAACCAGCTTCAGAACACCCTGGGATGCAGCTGGAACAAACCAAAGTGTAATGGAGTTAACTGGGAGAGTCTCCCCTCTGCAGCTGGAGGGGAGTTTGGGCCAGCAGAGCTCCTTTTCCTCCCACAACGGGATGATCCCGCTGCTGGGGGGAGCTCAGCCATCCCAAAGGACACTTCTGACAGGGAGCACTGATGGATGGCCGGGGCTGAGCAGGAGAAGAAAGGGAAGCCTGTGGGAATCGGCCGCCGCCGAGAGTTTCCAGGCTGCGGGAGCCGGCAGGGAACGGAGCGTTCCATGTTCTCCTCCCTCACGTGGCAGCCTCTCCTCCCCTCCCCACAACGATGATTAAGCTGTTTCCTACATGCAGTTAAACACTCCAGCAGATTTCACCCCACCACAAGAGGGTTTTGGCAAATCCAGCGGACGGGTCACGTTTTAAAGCTTTCCAGACTCAGGACACCACGTGTTGTTTCCTTCCCTCCCCTCCTCCAAGTCTCCAAAGAAGATTCACCCTTTCCTTTGTTCTCACAGGAAGGGTTTGGTGTCATTTGCTTTCCCATTCTCACCACAGGAGCAAGGTGTGGGAATCCCCAGGTGGCTTCAGAGGGTTTAAGTTCTCCTTTGAGTTACCATTTCCCACATTTTGGGATTTAAACCAGCTCCCAGACACAGGAAATCCAAACCCAAACCTGGCTCTGAGCTGTTCAAATGCCCTTCTATTTATAATGGGCTTATAAATGACTTTATAAATTACTGTTCTGGTCTAAATTGGAGCATCTGAAGTCTGGATCCAGGACTCCTTTTTGCCAGGAACCTTCTAGTAATGCATTCCACCATGATGTGGTTCTAGAGGACTCAAAGGGAGCTTCAGAGCAACAGATGTGATAATGAAGAATTAATTACTGGAACAGCTGCCTGAGCAAAAGGTTAAGCTCATCATCCCCAAACTTCTTTCAAGGAATCTCGAACATCTTTTTTAAGTCACATATTCCAGCCTGGCCTCCTGGACTCAAGAGACTCGTTAAGGTCAGAGGAGACATTTCTGGTCCACGGGGCAAATATTCCAGTGAAAACACACTCTGTCCTGTATCCCCAAGGGCTCTTGGAGCTGGACAGGGCCCCAGCAGCCCGTGGGGGTCTTACCTTGGCCCAGCCTTGCTCCTGTGATGGCCTCCTTGGCGCTGCCAAAGCCCAGCTCCCGGCACACCACGCTGGCCGACACCAGGTTCCAGTTGTCGTCGCAAACCGTCCCCCACTCCCCGTTTTTCAGCACTTCCACTCGTCCCTCGCCCGTGTTGGCTCCTCCTTTCAGCCTCACCAGTGGTTGCTGCAAGACACGAGGCGGGAGAGGAGTTAATTCCCACTCCCACTGCCTAATTGCACATCCTGCCCTCTGCAGCTCCTGTCTGCAGGAAAGCTGGGCCCCCAGAACTGTTGGAGAATCACAGAACTAAACCCCCACCCCTACACAATTCCAGTGGCCAAAAGCTCTGGATGGAAGGAGATCTTTACCTGCAAACATTCATGGGATGCACAGATACATTTCTCACATCCCTACAGGTGGGCAGGGAATTAAAAAAAAAAAAAAGATATTTTAGTTCTCTGCAGGTTTAGTGCTTGGATTTAGGAGCATTTTTCTGCTGGTGCACACAGGCTGGACATGGAAATACCCAATTCTCCTGTTCCTTGGGAGTCATGTCCCTTGGAGAATGGCCCCAAGCCTGCTGGTGCCCAACTCTCATCCCCTGGCTGCCACTAAAAGGGTTTATTTGCTGTTCAGACCTCCAGGATCAACGTGGAGCTCAAGCCACCTCAAACCCACCTGTCTGCTGAGTTCTGAGCAGTGGAATCCGTGATCTGGCAGATCCCAGGCAGAAATGCACAGCTCCAGTTTCGCTCACTCCTGGTTTTCTATGATTATGTTATTATCTCTTTCCACTTTTCTATTATTATCTTATTATCCATCAATCACCCACAGCTTTGCCCAGTGCCAGGCACAGACCTGCCACTTGCTGCTGCACCTGAGAGGTGGGTCGTGCTGGTGGCAGCAGAGCCAAAGCTTTGGGAACACCAAAGAATCCTTAACTTTTCCAACTGGCAGCAGGCTGGGGTCACACAAAGGACATGCAAAGCCCAAACAAAGGCTTAAGGAATTACTTGGCAGCGTGTGTGGCTCAGAAGATTAGTCATGATTTACAAGACCTTTCACCTTTCAGGCCTAAATCCCTCAAGCTCTCGTGCAGGGAAGAGCCCGGGATCCAGGCAGGGATTGCACTATTCCCACCACAGCAGTTTTGGGGAGGTGTTGACACCTGAGAAGAGCCCAGAGGTCCTCCTAAATCCACACAGATCCAGGGCTGGGCGATGCAGCTCCAACCCCACCCAGAGCACCCCTGGAAAAACCCCTCTAACCCAGCATCTGGGGCCTCCAGATCCCAAAATCGTCCCCGTGTCCTAAGGCTGCAGCTGGAAAATTTCCCTTGGCATCCACTGAACCATGTTTGCTGCACGTTAAGCTCTTCTTTCCTATTCAGTCACCCCCCTGACCCTGAGCACAACCAGCTCCAGGGTTGTTTTACAGGGCTTTTTGCATATCCCAGGATTTTTACAGCCCTCTCCTCGCTAGACTAAACAAACACAGCTCCCCAACCTTCCTGCAGGCTGTGTTTTCCCAGTCTCCCAGGGCATTTCCGTGCCGAGGAATGCAGAGGTAGAGGAAATGCCAACTGATTTCCCTCGTCCCTCCACGGGGAAAACCAATCCAGCAGGATTCCAGTGGCTGTGGAACAGCAAAGCCCGGCAGCGACCGGGCACCAGTTCAACTGGCTCGGACAGAGCAGCTCCAACAGGAGCATGACCCGGGGATTTTCCCACTCCTTGCTCCCAGCTTTGCCAGCTCCCATCCTCCAGGAGGCAAGGAAGCAGGAATTTCTTGGGATAGGGGTTGGCCGGGCTTGCAGGGAGACGGGAATTCTTGGAGGGGACGTTGGCACGAGGTGTTGGGGTCCTGCAGCCGAGAGCTGATGGTGGAGAGTTACACCCCCAGGGTTTTCCTGCTCAAACTCATAGGGGGTTAGATGGGATTTTAGGGAGAAATTCCTCCCTGGGAGGGTGGGGAGGCCCTGGAATGGATTTCCCAGAGAAGCTGTGGCTGCCCCATCCCTGGAAGTGTCCAAGGCCAGGTTGGACGGGGCTTGGAGCAACCTGGAACAGTGGGAGGTGTCCCTGCCCATGGCAGGGGGTGGGACAGGATGAGCTTTAAGGTCCTTTCCAACCCAAACCACTCCAGGATTCCATGACTCTTCCCCAGCTTTGTATTCCTGAGCAGGGTCTGGAATATCCCTTGGGTTAGTTGGGATCAGCTGTCCCAGCTCTGTCCCCTCCCAGCTTCTTGTGTCCTTCCAGTCTTTCAAAGCCTCGAGGTTGTGCAGCCCTGCTCAGCAACACCAAAAACTTCCCTCGGTGTTAACAGCACAGATTCAAAACCCTGTGAGCAAAATTAACTCTGTCCCAGCCAAACCAACACACTGGAAAATTCAGCCGAGGGGAGAAAACAAGATATACAGGATAGAAATTAAAATGCATATTGCCTGGAGAATGTACCCACGTGCTTTGAGAAATTCGGGGGGAAGATTCAGTGTGTCCAATTCAGTGTTTAACTCCCCAAAGGCAATTTTTAATTTGCTTCTGTAGCTGTGTGAGGAGATGGAACAGCAGCAGCTTCCTGGAGTCTCACCACAGGGATATTCAACCTGGGATGGGACTCTCCAAAGTTAAGCAAAAAGCTGGATTTTATCCATCATTTCAGCCCTCAGACCTGCTGAGCCGGAGGTTTGGGCTCCAGTTTCTCGGAGTGCCCAAGCTCGGAGCAAACCGGGCGAGATCAGACGACCTTTGAGGCGCCTTCCAACCCAAACCACGCTGGGGTTCCGGGCCGGGTGGGGTTTTCTCCCTGCTCACCTCCTGCCTGAAGGCTTTTCGGAAGCCGCTGTGGCTGCTGGGGGCGAAGGCCCGGCCGGGGACGCAGCTGACGACGGCGGGCAGCCCGTTCTCACACGTCGCGTTCTTCCCCGCGCCCACGGCCAGGTGGTTGCCCAGTTTGCAGCTGGAGATGTGGGCCTCGCTCCCGCTGCAGTCCATGGAGTAAGCCCAGTAATGCTGCTTCCTTCTGCTGGCGAACATCCTGAGAGGAATGAAAGAGGAGGAGAAGAGGGAAAGTCGGGAATCCGGAAAAAAACTGCACGGGTGTGGTGGTGGGTTGGGGTGGGGGAATGCCTTGGAATAAAATTGGGGTGGAAAAGGGTTGTTTGGAGGCTGAAATAAAATTGGGATTGAATAGGATTTTTTGGAGGCTGAAAGAAAGCTTGGACTGAATATGATTGTTTGGAGGCTGAAATAAAACTGAGATTGAACAGGAATTGTTTGGAGGCTGAAATAAAATTGGGATTGAATAGGATTGTTTGGAGGCTGAAATAAAACTGGGGTGGAAGAGGATTGTTTGGAGACTGAAATAAAACTGGAGTGGAACAGGAATTGTTTGGAGGTTGAAATAAAACTGAGATTGAACAGGAATTATTTGGAGGCTGAAATAAAGCTGGGATAGAACAGGATTGTTTGGAGGCTGAAATAAAATAAAACTGAGACTGAAGTGGAATTGTTTGCAGGCTGAAATAAAACTGGGGTTAAACAGGATTGTTTGGAGGCTGAAATAAAGCTGGGATAGAACAGGATTGCTTGGAGGCTGAAATAAAACTGGGATGGAATAGGATTGTTTGGTGACTGAAATAAAACTGAGATTGAACAGGAATTGTTTGGAGGCTGAAATAAAGCTGGAATGGGACAGGACTGTTTGGAGGCTGATCCATTAACACACAGGACTCTGTTAAGGTGTCACTTAGAATCATGGAATCATTAAGGTTGGAAAAGACCTCCCAGATCATCAAGTCCAACCACCTGGGGTAAACAGGTCACCTGCAAAAGCTAAAAATCAGAATATGAATCAAAGGTGCAGCTCCAGCAGCTCCAAGGAGCAGAAAATCCCAGCATCACACAGGGCTCAGCTCATTCAAACTGAGTGAACAAACTGGGGTGTGAGTTTGGCCTGGAGAGCCCCAAAAATCCTCTCCCTTTGCTGCTTTCAGCTGGGAGGCGGCAGACTGGGGAAAAAAAAACCCCTCCAGCTCTGCAGCTCCTCTCAAAGCTCGGTGTGAACAACCCGGCCCTGGAAGCAATTTCCGAGAGCAGGAGCAGTTCCCTTGCTGACATGTTCACAGCAGAGGAGCTTGGCAGCAGCTCCTGCTCCTCACTCCCAAGCTGCCTGGAGCTGCTCCAGGTGCTCCTGAGGAGGAAGGGGGCACGTGGGATAAACTGGGAAGGGAAGGAATCCAGCTTCTGGAAGGGAAGGAATCCACCTCCGGAGCTGAGAGTCGAGGAAACACAAAATATGGGTCAGATCAAACACAAAATATGGGTCAGATCAGCATCAAAAGTGAGATGGGAGAAGTTAAAAACACAGGCACAGAGGAGTCAACGCCCTGCTGGGATCCTGACGTGGCTTTGTGTGATCCCTGTGCTGCTCCGGGTTCCAGGACTCCCTGGGATCCAAGGATGGGCTGTGGGATCCAAATGGCACATGAGGATGGAGCAGGAATTGTTTGGAGGCTGAAATAAAGCTGGGACTGAATAGGATCTTTTGGAGGCTGAAATAAAGCGGGGATGGAACAGGAATTGTTTGGAGGCTGAAATAAAATGGGGATGGAACAGGAATTGTTTGGAGGCTGAAATAAAGCTGGGACTGAAAAGGAGGCTGAAATAAAGCTGGGTGGAAATTCTGGGAGGAAAAACACCAATTCTGGGCAATTCTGCAGCGGATCCCTGTGGGACTGGGAGCCTGGAGAGCAGCTGGGAAGGGCCAAAGAGCCTTTCTGAGGGGTTGGTTTGGAATTCAAGTGGCCAGGACAAGGTTTTCCCCCAGCACGGGGGCTGATCTGCAGGGTCACGGAGATTGGAGGGACTCTCCTCTCCTCCCTCCTGCTCACTGAGCTCTGCTGACCAGCTCAGCAGTTCTCTGGGCTCACAGCCACTGACTAATCCCTTCTGGAGCCAAATTTCCCTGGGCTGAGGTTGGGGATGGATCCAGCCAGGCTGGAGATAGAGATGCAACGGCAACACATGATGTGGGGCTGGGAGGGATGGAGCAGGGCTGAGATCCTGCCTGGCCCGGGGGCAAAACTGGCTGTCAACACAGAGCAGAAGCTGTCAGGGACCCTGAACGGAGGCAAAAGGAGTGGGAAATGGGAAGAGAGAATTAAAATCCAAAAAATAAACCCACGAAACCAGGGAGGCACGAAGCACCAGCCACTTCTCAGCTGGAAGTGAGAACCTGAGGGAGTATTTTCACCCTCCACAGACAGGCCCAGGTTGCTCCATGAACTCCAAAGCAGACAAGAAACAGCCTGTCTTGGGGAAATAACGATGGGGATGCCTTAGAATAGCAAACAATGACCTCATCCTGGAAATTCCATGAGGCATCAACATCTGGTTGGTATTAACAGCCCTTGGTAGGCTGGGGAGAAATAAAACCCCACCTCAGTTCCCCAGACTGAAAATATATATATATATATATATATATAAAGCAGAATACAGATGATCTTTACAGGCAGAAACTCAGGGCATGGCTGCCTTTTAGTTTTTAACACAGGAAGGGTGCAAACAGCTCTCCCTGGCCTTGGTGGGAGCCAAGAGCAAGGTCAGAGGTGGGAGTGGGAGTCTGGCTGGGAGAGTTCAGCCAATTCCAGGTCAAGTCAGAGTTCAAACCATTCCTACTGGTGAGGAGAGATGGGCTTTCATCACCTAAAAAAGCTTTAAGCAAAGCACAGGTGAAGCCCAAGGGCTGTGGGAAGTGGTTAAAGAAGCCTTGTTGGGTAAGAGAGGGCAGGATAGGTTGGATATTAGGGAAAGATCCTTTATCCAGAGGGTGTTCAGGCACTGGAATAGGTTCCCAAGGGAACTGGTCACAGCTCCAAGGCTGCCAGAGCTCCAGGAGTGTTTGGACAGCGCTCTGAGGGACAGAGTGGGATTTTGGGGTGTCTGTGCAGGGCCAGGGCTTGGACTGGATGATCCTTGGGGGTCCCTTCCATGATTGTACGACTTGGGGAGCAGAAAACAAGTCCTCACACACACCCAGAGGGCAGGAAAAGTCACCCAGACCCCACAGAGCAGGGGCTGGGAACTCCTCCTGGGCTGGGAGCACAAAGTTTGTCCCCCCTTAGAAACCCTTTATGGAAGGGTTTATGGAAGGGAAGGAGCCTCTGCCTTCAGCCTCTGGGAGGGCAGAAGGGAAGCCACACCTGCCAAAGCCCTTCAGATCCTGGGAGAAGACAAAGCACGAGGGTTTTTACTGCCAGAACTGAAGTGATGACCGGCCCTACACACCTGAGCAGGTTTGTAATGGGAGGAGCAGACTGGTTGAACTGGGAGGTGCTGTTTGGGCTGACACTGGACAGAGGATCCTGGAGCTGCTCAGCATTTCCAGCCGTTTCTTTGACAAATCACAAAGCTTTAAAGCTTAAAAAGGCATCAGGTCCATCTTTCTGCCTCAGGCATCCCCGATCCCAAATTTCTCCTCTCTCCATCAGCAAAATCCATTAAATTCTGCTCTGCTTTCCCAGCCAGAGCAGGAACTGGGAGGAGGAGTGAACAGCAGCCCTTATATATAAAACCACTTTGAAGAATGAACAAGAACAGGGAAACAACACTGAGCTGGGTTTCATTTCCTCCCATAAATCGTCCTGTCAGCTCCAGAGGCCGAGTTGCATTCGGGAATAAAACCCTGGCACTGGGACAACGATGAACTAAGTTGTTTTCTTTCAAGCAAGATCCATCTGCAAATCATTTCACCTCCCACCATTGTGCAGGAGCAGGGGATCTGCAAGCTCAGCAGGCAGGGCTGGACTTTGGGGGGATGTGGGAAGGGGCACTCCGAGCCTTGCCCAGCAGAAACCTGATCCCAGCCCATCTCTGTGGGAAGGATCCACTCCTGGGGAGCAGGGGATTCACAGATCAGAGAGGGCAAAGCCTGAGGAACGAGGAGAACGTCTCTGAGGGGTCACAGGCTCATGGAGAGGGGGTTCAGCTCCAGGGACCAGCCAGGATGAGCCTTTCTCTCTCCAAAACAACAGGGGCAAGCAGAGAGCAGAGCTCTCCTGGCCCAGGCTCATCATTCCAGCACCTTGAGCATGAAGGAAAGGTCACCTGGGACATTCCCAGCCCAGAACTGGGAGGTTTCCCTCCCCTCTAAGGCGACCAGTGACACTGGTTGTACCCAGCGGGTCTGCCAGGAACACAAACCCCAAGGAAGAATCCAGCTTTTACACTCTGCTAACAAACAAAACTGTCCAGCTGCCAACGTTTTACAAGCCCAATAAAATGCCCTCCCATCCTCCTTCCACCCTGGGATAACACCCAACGTGCTTCCCAAAACATCTGGGGGTGCAGGAGCCCAGCAGGGCTGAAAACCAGCAAAGAGGGCTCGGGGGAACTGGGGGGTCTCCAGCAACCTGGCTGAGCAGCAGAGATCTCCAAGCCTGGCATTTGGAAGCACAGCACATTCCCAGCTCCAAGCAGTGGCATTTCCAGCACTGCTGGGTTGGTGCTGGACAGCCCTGCCTCAGATTTTCCATCTGTGTGTGTGTGTGCAAGGGACAGGACAAGCACCAAGCACCCTTTTTTTTTTAAGGCAGATGGCTCCAGCTGCTCAACTTAATGCTTTTCTTGGAAGCACCACAACTGGAAGCAGGAAAAACCTCCTTTGTCCTTCTTAGGGGTGATTTATCCCTCGTTCCTGCTCCGCTGCAGGGGATGGGAATCTCAGGGATGAGTTTGAGGGAGTGATGGAAGCAAACACTCCCCAAACTGGTGTCTGAGCCTGGCCTGGTAGCAATTATTAATTCACTGCTCATCTCCCCGGGAATCCTGCGAACAAAATTCCACTTGGAGTCCTTATTTCAGATTCCTGGTGTGTCTCTACACTATTCCAGCCCAAGGACCTCGCTGGTGGATCGGGATTTTGCTAATGAGAGAACTGAAACGTGGCCAGGCAGGTCCAGGGGGGAGCTTCCAGAAATAGCAATTCCAGAGGCCAAAAGGAGCCTAAAAAAGGCAGGAAAACCACAGCTCCTGCCTGGAGAATCCTGCTCTCCCCCTCACCCACCCGATGCTTTCCCACCCCACAGGTCACAGGGTAGGAAAGAGAGGAGACAGAATTTCATTTGAACTGTTTTGCATCTGCTTTAGGGTGGTTTTGTTTTTTTTTCTTCTAGGGAACAAGAGTGGGAAGAAGCACGTCTGGTGACAAAATCCAAGGTGAAACAACGACAAGAAAGACCAACATGACTTGACTGGAGCTTCCAGCACAGCCAGAACTGATCCCAAAGCTGACTTTCTGCAGCAGGGTGGGATGAACAGCTGGAGAGAGACCATTTACAAGAGCCTGGAGGGACAGGACGAGGGGGAAAACTTCAAACTGACAGAGAGCAGTTTAGGTGGGATATTGGGAAGGAATTCTTCCCTGGGAGGGTGGGGAGGCCCTGGCACAGGTTGTCCAGAGAAGCTGTGGCTGCCCCATCCCTGGAAGTGTCCAAGGCCAGGTTGGAGCAACCTGGGCTAGTGGAAGGTGTCCCTGTGCATGGCAGGGGGTGGAACAAGATGCTGTTTAACATTCCCTCCAACCCAAACCATCACTGGGGGAGGAAATGCCTGTCCTGGGGCTGGAATTATAAACCAGAAAGACCCCTTGGGCCAACTGTGCCCATCTCCCATTCCAGGCCCGATATCAAACCCTGCAGCTCATCCTGCACAAGGTCTCCAGCCAAAGGCTGAGGATCAAAGGCCCCCTCCCTGCCTGCACCGAGGAAATTCTGGACATTTCAGACATTTACAGGGCAGGAAAACCCGATGGGAAGGAATGAAGATGGGAAGGAATGAAGCAGTCGGAGGTTTCTCCCTATGAGGAGAGGCTGAGGGAGCTGGGGGTGTTCAGCCTGGAGAAGAGGAGGCTCAGGGGAGACCTCCTCACTCTCTGCAACTCCCTGACAGGAGGGGGGAGCCAGGGGGGGTTGGTCTCTTTTCCCAGGCAACCATCAGCAAGACAAGAGGGCTGGGTCTTCAGCTGTGCCAGGGGAGGGTTAGGTTGGAGATTGGGAAGAATTTCTTTGCAGAGAGGGTGCTCAGCCATTGGAATGGGCTGCCCAGGGAAGGGGTGGATTCTCCATCCCTGGAGGTTTTTAAGCTGAGACTGGATGTGGCATCAGTGCCATGGGCTGGGAACCACGGCGGGGTTGGATCAAGGGTTGGACTGGATGATCTCGGAGGTCCCTTCCAACCCAGCTGATTCTGTGATTCCCTCATTCCCCCTCAAGCCCCCGGGTGTCACTGGACACTTTGCCCCCGTGCCCAAGGCCCTGAGCGTTCCCGGGAGGGTGTTTGTGGCTCACCCAGAGCTCTGCCCTTACTTGTACACGTTGGTGTTGTATTTCCTCTCGCTGGGGAACCCGAACATGCCGCAGACGACCCGGGAGTTCTTCATGGTCCAGTGTTTGTCACAGATCTGCTTCCAGGTGCCCTCGTCCTTCACCTCCACGTAGCCCTCGGTGACGGGGACCCGTTTGCGGTAGGTGGCCAGGATGGCCCTGATCCTGATGTCCTCCACCTGGATGTTCATGTTCTGCAGGCACAGAGCACACAGGAGTCACACTGGGCCGGGAGGAAAGCGGTGGTGGAGCTGCAGGGTGGGATAAAACCCCAGCTGTGAGGGCTGGAAGGACGGGATGTGCAGGGAGGAACAACGGGGAGGCAAAGAGGAGGGACAGGACAAAGGGGAATGGGTTCAAACTAGCTGGATATTGGGAAGGAAGGGTGGTGAGGCCCTGGAATGGGTTTCCCAGAGGATATCCCATCCCTGGAAGTGTCCAAGGACAGGTTGGAACAACCTGGGCTAGTGGAAGGTGTCCCTGCCCATGGCAGGGGGTGGCACTGGGTGACCCTTATGGTCCTTTCCAACCCAAAACCATTCTGGGATTTTATGAAACAAACCTCTCCACCCTGTGCAAATCCAGCCTCCATCCTGTTAAGAGGATGCTCCTTCTCATTAAAAAAACCCAAACCCAACTTTAGTTTATTTTATAAGTAGCCACTTAACAAATCTCCTTTATCACTTAAGCACTTGTCCATCCCAGTGCTGGTTTCAGCAGCACAGGGACCTTAATTTAATCCCAGCTACTGTAAAAACAAACTCAGCTTTCTTAGGGCCATCTTAATGATAGAATCATTTAGGGAAAAGCAGGAAACCGGGAGCCTGTAAGGGAAAACTTTGGGGTTTTCAGGGAGCCCGTGTGGAATCTGGGATTCCACTGTGCTGACAGCAGCATTTCTCTGGTTCCTCCTCCAGCTGAGGCAGGACTTGGGACAGCAGATGAGTCACGGGGGTGGAATGGATTTCACACGTGGAGCCCTAAAAGCGAGGGCACGGAGCAGCCCTGCAGGGCCCCGAGCCCAGAGCGAAGCCTGGCTGGAAAATATCCGCCGTGGCCACGAGCAAAGAGCTCCTGAAAAAGGGATCAACCCCAATCCAGCAGCCCTGAGTTGTCAAATATGCACAAACCCACGTGGTTCTGGCTCGGGGTTACATCAGGACTGAGGAATCCTCCCTTCTTCGGGATTCAATTGCTTGGAAAAAAGAAAAAAATGCCCGGAGCTTTAAAGGGCCACGAGCCCCTGGATCAGCAGCTCCCTCTGGATCAGCAGCTCCCTCTGGATCAGCAGCTCCCAGGGGTGGTGGAGGCCAAGAGGTCAGAGCAGGACATGCTGAGTCCTGCCAGTGACGTGGCTCATCCCTTCCCCAGATGCTTCCCCAGCTGCTGATGCAACCAGGAGAGCCCAGGGAAGGGGAAACATTCCCTGCCTGGAGCAGGGAATGGGCCAGGGAAAGGCTCCACTCACTCAAGTATTCCTTCCTCCTTTTCCTTATTTTTTTTTTTCTTCCCTCTCCTCTCTGTTTTTTTCTTTTTTTTTAATATAAAAATATTTATATATTTATATGCAATAGGTATTTATATTAAATACTTATATATATAAACTATTTGTATTATTTACCACCCAGTTTTACAAAAATATTTATATATTTATATATTTATGTATATAATAGCTATTTATATAAAATATTGAGATATATAAAATATTGAGATATATAAAATGTTTCTATTATTTACCACCCAGTTTTACGAAAATATTTATATATTTCTATATAATAGCTATTTATATAAAATATTGAGATATATAAAATGTTTCTATTATTTACCACCCAGTTTTACAAAAATATTTCTATATAATAGCTATTTATATAAATATTTAGATATATAAACTATTTGTATTATTTACCACCCAGTTTTACAAAAATATTTATATATTTATATATTTACGTATATAATAGCTATTTATATAAAATATTTAGATATATAAAATGTTTCTATTATTTACCACCCAGTTTTACAAAAATATTTCTATATAATAGCTATTTATATAAATATTTAGATATATAAACTATTTGTATTATTTACCACCCAGTTTTACAAAAATATTTCTATATAATAGCTATTTATATAAATATTTAGATATATAAACTATTTGTATTATTTACCACCTAGTTTTACAAAAATATTTCTAT